AACTCACGTCTGGAGAAGATCGAAACGGCCGTTGGTCGTTCCAGCCTTAATATCCTGAAACCGCTGCTCGATAAGACGATCCCGGAATCGCATCAAAATACCAATGCCAGAATCCTGCTCCGGACTCGCAACCAGGTACTTGCCGAGGAAGGTGCTCTTGACCCAGTTGGTGAAAGGATAAAGCCGAGCCATGAGACCGAAGGGTACCAGACCGTCGTGGAACGCCTGGATGAGACCGCTAACGTCCTCACCCTTCTCGATGAAGCCAACGGGCGCACCGAAGCCGACAGAGGAGATGACATCGTAGGCCATGTAAACGGCCCAGGGGGCAAAGTCGAGTTTCTCGCCGGTGCCGGCGAACTTCTCGTCAAGCTTGTAGATCCAGTTCTCGATCTGTTCGTCGATGAGCGGTTCCATCTTCTTCACGTTGGAGAAGCTGTAGGGGGCTGCCGCTATCTTGCGGAAACGGGCGTGGATGGCCGAGTCCTGCATGTTGAAGAGGGATTCATCCTTGCCGAAGCTTCCGGTAATGTAGTGCTTCGACTTGTTCGCATTGCGGCTGTAGATGACGGGGAGCTTGGTGGCGTCGCTGACGAGGAGCATGGTCGGGGTGATGCGGATGATGGGGCCTGGGATTCATATGTTTTAGAAGGCATGTTGTTTTCTCTTTCTTTTTCCCCAGCTTGGTGGTGCGCTATTCAGTACTCACCATGCTTCTTATGGAGCTCCTGGTACACCTCGCACTCGTCCGCCTTGACGTTGTGGTAGGCAATCCATAACCTGGTCACGCTGGCCCAGAAGGAGCCGGGGAATTGGGAGAGAGGGTGGAAGAAGCGGTAGTAGACGATCTGGTAGATGGCGCACCAGGCGATGTAGCCCAGCCCCAGAAGGGCGAGGTTCGCAATGCTGAGGAGTGCCATGAGGGCTGCTGAACTAAATTCCGACGGCCGACCTGCGTGCAGTAAGCTACGGTGGGAGATATCGACGAATGGTCAGTACAAGCCGAGATCAACGCGGAACAGGAGGCTGTAAGTTGTAAGGGGGGTCGTTTTCTGACATGGGCAGAAGTGAGAACTCACAGAAAACAATACGTGGGAGGAGGGTTTGAGGTATGAGGGCGAGGGTGGTCTTCCAATCTTCCAATGCACTCAACTGCTATCAAGGAGGGAATATGCGAGGAGTCGAGCTCCGGGGTGGAATGAGAGAACATATGCACATGCATGCGGCGCCACCCCACCCTTATGAAGAGCTCCCCTGGCCCGCGATGTAACGGTAGCCCCTCTCCCCTGGGATTACTGGAACCGTGCCGTACGGAGAACTCCTACAGCGCATCTCATAACCTTTTCCTTTTGAGGTGTTAGAGTGCGTTGACGAAAGCGGGGGTGATCTCCAAGCTTGCGTTGGCGAGGTTGGCGAGGCTGGCGAGTATAAGGTGCCTTATGTACGAATTTGTAAGGTACCTTATTACCTTAGGTGCAGTTACGGGCGTAAGTACCTTACGGAGTACAGATGCAGGTGCAAATGGACTCGTCACTGGCAGGTGCAGGTGAACTGGTGGAGATGCCGCAGGCCTCGTTCGTTCCTTCCCCTCCGTCCCAATTTCAGACAGGCAAGCACATGTCACGCCTCCTCTTGAGTCTGCACGTGGATGTCGTAGAACACTGTCGTAGAACACTGTCGTAGAACACAGACTACAGTAATTACTCCACAACACATTACGTTGTACCTCTTTATCACAGGATATGCTTTTCCCGAGTCAGAAATGAGGATGTGTCTAGTTTTCCCCAATCTTTTTTTGTCTCCTTTTGTTCTTCTTCTTCTTCTTCTTCTTCTTTCCTCTCCCCTTTTCTCCTGTTGTTTTATGTTGGTCCAATCGTCATGACGGGGATGAGATGGCAGGCAAACACGTTACACGATGATCCCCCATCTCTGGGACTGAGACATATCAGGTTCTTGCTGGAAAAGAGTCCCCGGAAATCATGATACCTATATTCCGTAGGTACGAAGTATGCGGGGGAGAGCTTCCAAGACCATCGGCAATGCAACCCCGCGAGTGGACAACAAATGTCCGTGAAAACGGAGGGACAACTCCCGCCAGCAGCGAGCGAGCTTAAACCTGGAAGGGATCTTCATGTTTTAAAGGTTTCACAGTAATTATACTGACTTATTTTAGCGGATAATACGGGAGTTGCAGTGAATACGTTGTATGGGAACCTCTTTGAATGGAATCTACGTTGTACAGTACCTTAGTACAGACTACGAGTACGCAGCGGTACGTACTTACAACGCCGGTCTCCAAAACCCGGCCCCGAGACCCGAGTCCTCTCCCATGCAAGCACGTTCGGAGAGCAAAAATCTGAAGTATAGGTAAGACTGGGGAAGCGAGACAAGAAGAGGCCCTAACATTATGCATTCGAGCATCGACATCGAGCACCGGGCCAACACGAGGTCTGTTTGTCCGTTGGTGAGCAATGGGCATACATAGCATACAGCGTAAGCGTCGACCCACCACTATCAACCTCGACCTCGACCTCGACATGCATAAGAGATGGGGTAAAGACAAAAGTACTGCGCACAACGTATCCGTGGACCGTACCTTAGTATCCATGCTTTTATGAGATGGAGTCTTTTTTGAGACTCGCCCGGTCGTTCTCCACCGGTGCTCGGTCTGTTTACGGACGGCGTTTCGTACAAAGGATATATGTACACGTGTACCTTTGGTAATTACCGAGTTAGTGTTAGACTGGTCGTGTCTCGTCCTTTTGGTCCCCCAAGTCGGAACTCCATCCTGGGTTCTTGGAAATAAGCATTGCAGCTCTTAGCGTCTGCATTGACCAATGGTTGTGCTTCCTCTTCTTGTCCTCGAATAGATGGTTTCTGCTGAAATGTGACTAAAAACCTTCCGCGAAACAGATGCGGGGGTTCCAGGTTAGAGCCATAATCCTTGCGAGTATGAGACTAGGATCAGCGTTGTTACTATTGGTATTATACGAAGTACACGTAATTACATATAGCGTACGGCCCTTGCTGGGCATCAGACTGTTGGGTGGCTTTCGCACAAGTGCTTCATACTTCGTAAGTTGTGCATTATTGGATATCAAAGTACGAACTTTAAAGGCTTCGGAGAAGATCCGGTCTTTACTCTGAGCGGGTGCAGTACGAAGTATCGGTATGAAGAGTTCTATAATTACACGTATTATAGGGGTAGGGAGGGGGGTCTTCTGTTACGTAAAGATTCAGATACGTTGTGCTTCGTAGGATACGCATACGTTAGCTTATGCAAATTATTACATATGTTATTGCACGCAACTTCAGCATGTAAAGGACATATAACGTACGGACACTCAGTCGTACGAAGTAATAATAGCTTACCTAAGGTAGCTTCTCCGTTCTGCCTCTGCGAACCCCTTTGGACGGTACCCAGTACGTTGTACCTAGCCCCAAATGTGAACGAGGTAACGGCCCGCAGTGTTTCCAGCTCACATGCAGTCCCCAGGGGTCCAGAGGTGGCTGGCGGTCCTCATTACGGCCCGCGGCCGCTAATGGCGCCAACAGAAGTCTTGGCATCGCTTCAAGCAGACAGCAACTCATAGCAGACCATGGGGTAAAAGCCATAGGTACAACGAACCTAGTGGGAGTCCTGTTATATATGTACGTTGTAGGTAAAAGTTTACCGAACTGCTGATTGACCGACCATTTCTTGTACTCTACCTAACAGAGGAGAAGTCTGTATGTTGCAAGTGGAACTGAACACTCCCAACAACCCATCCTACCCCCTGTCCCCTCCCCAATGCATTCTCTCGGTTTGTCGGAATATAATTGTTATTACGAAGTAGACTCGAAACTCTATCTTGTGGTTGTCAGGGCTACCCGACGAGGATATTCGGGCATATTCGGCGAAGACAATTTGACTACGGGGAGTGATCGACAAAGTACGCAATGGATCCTGGAAGATATCCTCGTCCATGCTAAGCCAGCTGCCAAGCCAGGACACTATCAAAGCTCTTCCAAACTCCCCAGAGCAACTGCGGAGAAAAATGAATGCGTTGTAGGCAAAGAGAAGCACAAAACAGGGGGGGGATAAGAAAAGAAAAAAACATGCGTGTGGACGAAACGAGATGATGAATTCATCTTAAATCTCCATCCCTTCAGAGTGTCTCATAACTCTTCATGCGTCTCATGAGTCTCATGCCGATTTCGGTTTGGGTTAATTCGATAAGACACACCGGTCTACCTATAGGATTCGGCAAACCCACACGACGACCTACCTTTGACGCGGGAGACGCAAGCAACCGGCCCAGTCAGCAGAACAAAGACTCTCGGTCTACCCGCGAGCACGACCCAAGCCACCGAACCGGGATCACCCTAATCAAGCCCCCCCTACCCGTAAAACTGGATCTCCTTTTTTTTTCCTTTTTTTTTTCCTTTTTTTTTTTTCCTTTTCTTTCTTCTTCTTCAGAGTCACTTTCCCCCTTGCATCGCTTGACACGACCCCACCACCATAAGACTCGTTGCAGAGAAGGCCATCGCCGATCAGCAAACGTTGACTCCCATGGACTTCGTCCGAAATGATTGCTAAAACAGCCGACGCCCGATTCGATGACCATCTTCTTCCCTTCATGGAACTCTTTCCTGGATGACGGGGTAGGGCCAGCTAAGGGGGGAAAGGGGCGGAAGACAGGGCTCGGGCCCGGGTGTTATCCCCGTTCAACCCCCCTGTCAAACTAACAGACCGACAGATCACCTCATTGGAAGGGGAATCAAAGGGTGGACTCCCGAATGCTACAGCAGTGTACACTACTGAGTACTCTACACTACTACCGTACACCATCTCGTGTACGTGTCGTGGTTCGGCAGTTGGCCTAGGTCCTCGGCCCAAGCGGACACGTCAGGGGCGGCAGAGTTCCATCCATACCACCTTGAGGCTCCAGCAGCCTTAGCAGGGCCTCCTAAGGCTTGGAAAATTTTCGCAATTCACATTACTTTTTCTCCCCCATCTCTATGGAGTACCTGTTTTCTTCCCTCCCCCTGTTGCGATATCCTCGTCGAGGGTCTGGGTATTAAGATTCGCGAACCCTGTGAAGTGGTCGGTCTGCCCTATGCGTACTCCGTATGTATTAATATTAATGATATTATCCCCTCTTGTACGAATAATACGATGAGATCGGCAGATGTTCCATGTCGTTTCTTCACACATGAGCTATATTCTTCTCTTTCAACCGAGTCCTCGCGTCTCTGTCTTTTGTTAATCATTATTTCTCTTTCTCCTCGCTCCTAAAACGAGCCCCCTGCTTTGACCGAAAAAGAAAAAAGGAGACCCCAGACCTGGTGCCATCTCAACTCACAACGTATAGGAAGCCGACGCCCGCCAAACTTGTGGGTTCTTTTTTCGTTTTTTTTTTTTTTTTGTTTTATGTTTATGTTTTTCTTCTCTTCTTTTCTACGTCGCCTTTCTTTTTGTCTTTACTCCGGTCTTTCGGCCTAAGGAGCCGCCTCTGCACGTCGTACTTCAACCACCCAGTCGGCCCCTTCACCTAATCGGCATTTTGTTGCCATGGCGGAGAGTCAGGGGCCGACAGTCGTGGCCGTGGCCATTATTTTCGCAGTGGTGTCCTTCTTGACCATCGTTCTTCGATTGTTATCCAGGATACTGGTAATCGGACGACTGAGTCCGGATGATTGTAAGTTGAGTTCTCTTATGGCTTCCATTGCCTCCAAATCTCCTTTCATGCGTTTGCGACTAACATGGGCGAAATCAAGGGCTCATCTGCATCGCTGTGGTCCTATCATGGGCCTTCATAGGTTGCAACATTGCCTGTAAGTCATTTGATGCCTTGCAATTCCCAACATCTCAACTTGTACAATATCAGCGGCATCTCCTGGCAGTTCTGACTGACTTCACCTTCGTTAGCCGTCCAATATGGACTCGGCAGCCACTTCCCTGATGTCGAAGCCCGCGGAATCGACAACATGATAACCTACCTCCAGATCGTCTGGATGTCGTCCATCTTCTACAACGCATGCCTGGGCTTCATCAAGGTGTCAGTCCTTGCACTCTACATGCGACTCGGCGACCGCCCTCTTCGCAACCTCTCCATCGTCATGACTGGTGTCATCATCTGCCAGGCCGGCGCCAACGTGTTGGCCTGCATCTTCCAGTGCGCCCCCATTTCGGCCGCCTACGACGTCCGCATCCCGGAAGATGAGAAGACGTGCGTCCACATCAACGCCTTCTACCTCGCCAACGCCGCCGTCAACATTCTCACCGACATATTGACCTACACGCTCCCCATCCCGCTCATCTTCAAGCTTCAGGTTTCAAGGCAGCAGAGAATCAGTCTGATGGTTATTTTTGGCCTTGGTCTTTTGTGAGTCGCCTCCTTCGAACCCCCCGCTCCCCCTTCCGCCAGGAGCGGCACGCACTCCATGGGCAGTGCACTGTGTTTTGGCCTCAGCACTAACAACTCGCCCCTTCTTAGTGCCTGCATCTCTTCCGTCATCCGCATCACCTACATCCCTGGAATGTTGCATTCCGGAGACCCGACCTGGGATATTGCGCGCCCCATGTACTGGTCCGTCATCGAGACGAACATTGGAATCCTCGCTGCGTCCATCCCGTCGTACAAACCCCTGGCGAAGCGGTACGCGCCGCGTCTGTTGGGCAGCTCCGCTCGCGAGGGCAAACTCTCTGGCTTCAAGATGATGCCGTACGGAAAATCCACCGGCAGCCGGAAAGACGGCATCGTTGACGGGGAGCGTGTCAACGTGAGCGTCGGGGCCAAGGGCGAGTCCAGGTTCACTACCCATACCAAGCCGTGCATGCAGGAGAACAGCAGCGAGGAGGAGCTGTTCGCGCCCAGCGGTCGGATTGGCGTCAAGACCGAGATCTTCCAGGGATACGAGGAGGCTACTACTGCCCCCCGACCCCCAAGTCCCTTGGCACAAGTTCCGGGGCATCAGGGCGGTACGGTTAAGAAGGGTTCGGGATGAAAAAGAGGAACGCGATGGATTGAAAAAAAGCAACACCCGGACGGCATCCTGGTCGTGTAAGATTTAACAAAACATGGGAAGTGCACGGCTGCACCGTCATCAGGATAACGTGCGTTGTGTATCAGTCGGAAAAGGGAACTCTACGGTTTCGGAGACCCTCTGTAGCGAACATAGATTTGTCAAGTCCGCCAGCCATTCGTCGAGAATACGGCATCAAAAGGAGTTTCTTCTTCGAAGACTGGAGTCACTGGACTCTTGGTCCCCATCACTTCGTCAGACAGTAGCCTGATTCTCCTCACAATACGCCCCCTCGAGAAGCATACCACCCTTCTGCTTCGTCAAGCCCCAGTAAGGAGGTCAACAGCGCCGGCTGTACTGGCTGATGGATCAACCCCAGAGGTGGCTCATCCAGGGGGAAACCAAAAGCGGTGGGGTCGGGCAATGCCGCGTCGGTGAAGGGACATAGAGGGCTGACGGAGTCCAGATTCTGCTCAAGTAAGAGGGACGGGATAAGCGTAGGGTCAGGCTCGTTTGTTGTGCCTCCTGATGATGAACAATCACCGGAAGAGGTAGACGCATTGGTTGGCTGCTGTGCGATGATCGCTAGATCGGACTGCGGTGAACTCGCCCGTCGGGAGCTTCCGGTTCTCCCCAATCTGCCTCGGTAGACGCAGGTAAGTCCCCGTTGGCGACAGCGTCCGCAGAACGGCAACCCGTTATCGCAGCGGCGTTTGGTCTTGATGCAGGTAGCACAGGATCTCTGTCGGGAAGGGGGGTGGCTGCGTTCCCGCCATGTCAGGCTCACGTTTGATTCCATTGCCTGGTGGTGTCTAAAGGCCCAAAGACCAAGGAGGGTCACGGCGGAGCCTCAAAACGCGCTGGTGGCAGAGACAGGGTAATTGTGTTGATGGATGTGAGCCGAGAGAGATGGAGCTGGATCCGAAGTGGAATCGGAGTTTCGGCGTCTCGACTCTCAGCTGATTAATCGTGCGCGGGTTTCGGGGCCAGGTGAAAGGCTGAACTCCGCCCATCCCGACCGGCTCTAACACACTGTCATACACCACTGCCGGTGGACCGATCCCACCAGCATTCGAAGAATCGGTCCCGAGCCCACTCCGCAGTTGGGACCAGTGGGATCAGTGTGGGGGATGCTTCGGGCCCTGGCTGGGACTTCATCGGACTGGGCGGATCTCCGACCACCAGCCTCAGAAGCTCTCTTCCAATCTTGGTCCAGGGCATCTTCTTCTCATCGCAATATATAAACGCTCCTTCCGAAGTCTCCCATGATAGACTTCCCCGTTAACAATATTTCTCGACAATATCTCTCCCCGCCGTTTTCGTTTGCGGCGCCACAGGCACCCAAGGGGGAGCCCTCGCCCGCCACCTCCGCGCTAGAGGCGCAACCGTCCATGCCCTCATCCGCAAGCCCAACGATCCACGTGCCGACGCGTTGAAAGCCCAAGGCGTGAAGCTCTGGACGGGCGACTTCGACAACGCGGACGCTCTCAAGGCCGCCCTGACCGGCTGCGACGCCGTCTTCCTCAACTTCATGCCCGACCTCACCGACTGGGACGCCAACCTCCGGCAAGCCAAGCTCATCCTCTCCCTCGCCAAGGTCGCCGGCGTCCGCCACGTCGTCTATACGAGCAGCGTCGCCGTTGACACGCCCGAACGCTTCCCCCACTGGGACCCCAACACCACTGTGGCTTCCGTCCTGCTCTCGAAACAGAGCATCGAGGCCGAAGTCCGCGAGTCCGGCTTCGAGACCTGGACCATCCTGCGTCCCGCCTGCTTCATGGCCAACTTCGTCCTTCCTTTCGTCCAGATGTACCGTGACCTCGCCGGGGAAGGTCGCTGGGTCACCCCCTTTGCCGAGGAGACGGTCCTACCGCTCGTGGACACCGAAGCCATGGGCGCTTTCTCCTGCGCCGCCATCCTCGAACCGGAGCGCTTCCACGGCCGGGTGGTCACCTACGCTGACGAACTCGTGACTGTCGGAACCATCTTGAAGAAGTTATCCGCTGCCACGGGTCGCGGCCTACGGCTCGTCACCATGTCAGAACAGGAGATTGACGCGGGGAAGGCCAAAGATCCGTTCGTCGGGGGTCAGTTGCATTGCACGGGGATGACGGGGTTCATCGACATGGAGTCGGTCAAGGCCTACGGTATTCCGTTGTCTTCCTTCGAAACCTACCTCGCGAGGGAGAAGGACCGTGTCGCGAGCACGTACCTGCAAAAGGAATCATGACAGACCGCCCTCTCAGCTGTCTGAATATGTGGATGGAACTCGTGAAAACTCTCCATAGTTTCCTCCAATGCCAATGTAAATCTCAATTAAGGATGGTAAGCTGCCCATAAGCTGTTCCTAGCACATTTCGTCATTCAGAATGGTCGCTGTTGTGCGCCCCATCTTGTTTGTAAAGGGGATACGTCCGTGACTCTTTCATGCCTGGTGGGATAAAAACGCAATCATAGCTCGTTATGCTCCTGGGAATCATCCGTGTCGGCCAGGATGGTCTTAGCCGCCTCGGCCGCCTCACTGGCGACGCTGCCCATCTTCTCACCGAGCTTCGCGCCTTCCTCTTTGGCCTCCTCCTTGACCTCCTCCTTGTCATCCGCCGTAGCCTCGGAGTTCTTAATGACGATCTTCTCGGGCTTGGGAACGCCATCAATGCCCATCAGCTCGGTCTCGAAGACTGTCCGAAGAGAAAGAATAGGTCAGCGCATGTTCTTCATGTAAGTATGGGGCCGAAAACCGTACCGAGCGTCGAGCCGGCGGGGATGGGGCCAACCGCGCGTTGACCGTAGCCAAGCTCAGGAGGGATAGTCAGAGTCCTGTCCATGTTCCAATTAGTTACCAGCCTTTCTAACGGGTGTTCCCTCGGAAAGGAACGAGAAACTTGCCTCTTCTCGCCGATGCACATGTCCATCAGACCCATGTCCCAGCTAGTACACGATTAGCATCAGCATTCTCTCCGTCCAAGGCCTCGCCAGGAATGAGCCAGACAAACCCCTTGATCACCTGTCCAGTCCCAATCTTGACGGTGAAGGGACTACCCCGGTTATAGCCTGGGAGGACGCCAAGTTAGCTGGGAGCCTCACTTCCACGCAAGGAAGGAGCACTAAAGCCCCGATGCGCGCCGGGGCGGTAGCTTGGGGACGGGCACGCACTGGCATCGAACTCCTGTCCATTGGACTGCAGCTTTCCGCGGTAATGGACGCTGATACGGTCGCCGCTTTGCGACTTGCGCTCACACTCGACGGCCTGGGTGACATCGATCCTGAGGTCCTCGGCAGCGAGGACACCAACAGCGGCGGAGGCCAAAAGGCCGAGAGACAGGAGGGCGCCTTGCATTTTGAATGGCTATGGCTGTGTCGATGCTAAATTTAGGTAGGATTCCAAAAAAAGAAAGGTCTAGAAAAAGTGAGGCGAATACGTTAAGAGGAAAGTTCGGTTTGAGACGTCGGGGTTTGTTGACGACGTCCTCAACAACCGACTGCTCCTTTTTGGGAACAGCTTGCATCATGACAAGCTAGGAACCCACAATTCACCACCTGGAATTAGATTGTCCAATCAGACACGTCACCGGTAGATTGTTAATCCGAAGAGCCACTTCTTCCCAACCTTGACACGTACCTATACATTAGTGTACCTTACCTTATGCTACAATTTGTACATGCATGAATCAACTATCTATGGGTCTTTTGTCTGCTTCGGTCCTCAACATCAGTTTTTCTGTCTGTCTGCAACCGCCCAGATACAAATCTGAACTTCGTTGAGTGTTCTTCCTCTCCGGCTATTGTTCCTCGAATTGCCGCACTCCCATCGCGCCTGATGTAGGGTGCATTCGACCTAGTGTCTTCACTGCTATCAGAGTCACGATGAAGCCCTCCACTGCCAAATGACCGTGGCTTTGCCCAGCTCAGGGCGACGAACTGCCAAGATGAGCCAAGGGACGAGAAGTTACCCAAGTGGTTTAACTTCCTCTACTCAGGCACTTGGGGAGTGAGGCTCTTACGGGGTTGGATATGAAAGCAACTGTACGGATAGGGTATGGGCAAATGGTACGGAGTAATGGAGCGAACAGTGAATTCCCTCCTGAACAGTGACTTGGCAAACGGACAGAAGCACTTTACGTCACGTAGAAGAACGAAACGTTCGTCTCCTGCTGACATAAGGTGTAGGCAGGGTTTGTTAGGTACGTACCTTACCTTACGAGATTGTGTACGTGTAATGCATGAGGTAGTGAAATTTTATGGAAACTCGCACCTTGAGTTATGCAGTTTCTTGGCAAACTACGTCATAGGACAAGCCGGTACACGTATCATCGTCGAGACTGTTCCTCGTGATTGCTCCTGAACGTACCTGACAGCCCTACGACGTGTCGTTCGTAAGCCGTGGCTGGACAGCGAGTCGCGAATTTTCGGGCAAACTCTCACCGGAACGCCAAGTTTCACGTGAGGCGCTCGCTCTCGAGACTCGAATGCTTTTTCCTGTTATCGCGGAGCGTCACCGCCCCAAACCCGGGACGTAAGGAAATATGTCACATTTTGGACGTCATTCGCTTCACCGTGGAATCGCCCAGGCAATGTGCAACCTAGGGAGTAGGCCTCACACCTTAGGAGACTGTGGATAGTTGTTCTGAGTAATCGGGGAGGAAAAGCCACCGTTACACAGCATTAAGACGGCGAGGTCCGCGACTGGGTGTGTAGACGTCTGCCTGAATCCATACGCTCGATCCATAGTTCGCGCCCTTATCTGGCAGAACAAGGAGGGTAGCAAAACAAATTGTGTGGCATCGTCGCCCTCCTGCCCCCGAGGGAATGCTCGAAGGGCTGGAAGAGGTGATGGTTCCTGCAGCACTCTGTCCCGTTTGACATGGTCCACAACAGAACGGAAGCTCTCGCGATAGGTGCCCTGCAGCTCTTTCCTTACGATAGGTGGCAGACATATGTACGAAGTGAATCAGAGGGTGGGCAGCTTCATTGGGCAATATCGGATTGCGGTTCCTGGAAATCCAGCCACAAAGGTGAATGTTCCCGGTTGTGTAAAGCTTTCAAATTCAGGAAAGCTTGCCTAACTTTCCTGGCTTCGCCTTCGAGGCAACGCGCTTGTCCAGCGGCTGTGCCAATTGTCCCTTTGCAGCCCTTGAGAATATGACAACATTGCGGATAGGTACTCACTTTGAGGTAAGGTACTGTGGTCATGCCTGTAGGATTGGGCATTACGGAAAGCTAGGACCCAGGGAGAAACCGAAATAATTATGTCGAGGTCTCTTGTGAGCAAAGAAAGATGTTCGAGATCAATTGATCGACACGAACCGCATAACAGCAAGTACAAAGATATTTAGGTACTCAGATGGTCAGAGTTTGATGGACCTTTACCACGAATTAACGTGATGACCGTTGTTGCCTGCAGTATCGTTTCGTACTGAGGGGCATGCGACACAAGTGGAGCCCAGGATAAGGCGTGCCTAACGTGCCTCAGGTACCTAAACCTCGCACCAAGTACTCTGTCCTTAGCTACCCTAGGTACCTATACATATCACTTAGACTCATCAGTAAATGATTGGGAGGCATCGTTTCAACCCGTTTTGACCCCAGTTCTTCTCGGTAAGGTATCCATATTCTTTGTCCACTTTGTACCTACCTACGTAGGACTTCGTCGAGACTTTCTGGTCTTTGTCCACGTCGTGGTAAGCCAAGCCATAGCCCCACAAGCTTTGGGAAGAGATGAATTCAAGGCTAATAAGGTAGGTAGCAAACGGAAGTACTACCTTAGAGGTGAGTACGATCAATTCTGACCAAATATAGGACTCTGGGTACCTTTTTATTTTGGGTCCCCTACCTCAGGTAGCTGGGCATCAGGTGTACCTAGGTACCAAGCCGGATATGGGTCTCCTGGGGCATACCCTGGACCCAATTGGTTGGGTGCTGCCTATTGACCTACGAGACCCCGAATCCCAACTTCGTCCTATCCGTAGATCTCTGCGTCGACTTCCTTCTTCCCTTCTTCTCAATTCCCTTCCCAGCATTCGATCTTTGGCTGGGCTTACGGCTCTTGAACTTGGCGATCCGACACCCGTGCCCAACCCCGACCAATGACGCATTTTCATCGTCCTCGCTGTGAGTCAAGGGAAGTCTAGCTCTTCGTCCCACAGTGAACAGTCTGCTTGGACGTGTCTGTATTCCCTTGTCGTGAAGTCACGAGCCAGGTGACTTTGTTTCCCTACCGTAACCTCCACAGCCCCAGGTACCCGTCCTCAGAGCCCTTCTTCTCTGCGATTTCTAGGCACTCGGTGTCTCAGAGTCCTACATCATCCTGGCTGGCGCTGCCTAAGTAGGTAGACCAGCCCTGTCTGACCGTGTGCTCCAAATGGGTCCAGACCTGCCTAGGACGTCGATCAGAGGGCGCAACGGCGAGTTTGCCAGCATCCTCATATTCTACCGTTCGCCTACTTAAACGGCCTGCTTCCCTCTCGTTCTTCTCACCCCTCGCAGTCCATCATCAACACAATCATCAAAGCAACAGCCGGCGATTACATATCTGTCCATTGCCTGCCTCCCAAAGCAAATATCTTCCTCTTCCAAGTCATCATCGCTTCCAAAAGCATCATCACACTTTCACACATAGTACATACAAAAGACCACAAGAGGTCAAACAAGTCCACCATGCCTCGTTACGCCTCCAGCAAGACCCCCGTCATCCACCATGTGCGGGATTCCTCCGTCTCCTCCTCCTCATCCACCCGCAGCTCTGGTTCCATATCTGCCACGGCATCCTCCTTCTCTGGCTCTGGCGCCAGCACCCTCCGCGAGTACGACGCCTCGGGCCACTCAATGACAACGTCCAAGCGAAACAACGTCGTGGTTATCAACCGCCACGAGCCCGGCTACGACAGGGATTCCCCGAAGCCGACCTACAGCAGCGGCTACGCGGGCAAGAGGAAGTCGCATCAGTGATCGAGAATGCGACGCCGAGTCCCTCGCCTCTACACATTGTCTCTTGTCATCTGGCGTTATGGGTTGTTTCTACCGATAGACATGAGCGACCTACGATTTTGGACTTTTGATTCTTTTTGCTTTTGTTTTACATTGGGGTAGGAGTACGAGACATGGGGATGTACGATAGAGACAGGGGAAACATTGGGTGCTGGGCTATCCCCCAGAAAGCGCAAGCTAACACGGCGCAGGGCGCCGTCATACTGCAGAGTGGGACTATACAGAACCTGCCAATGTTGCTTCAGATCAGAGGGAGGGGGTTGACGGGTATTGGCTTTTGTACTTTTCCTTTGGTGTTTTTCCATTTCCATTTCTATTTTCTGTGGGTCACCTTTCCTCATGTTTACATAGGTAGGCGCACGCGGGCATGGCGACATACTGTACCACCACCGATGGAACGAACTGGGAATTAGGCCTGCACTGCCGCACAGGAACAGGAGCCTTGGCACACGCTGTCATGGAACTGTAATATTGCCTGAGCGAAACGGGGCAGAAGACAAATGGAAAAAAAAAAATTGTTTCCCTTCCATACATACACTAGAACAAAGTGAAACACACCATTTCAGTATCACCGAACGAGTAAAGCCATGTGACGGGCAGCGTGCGGGATGTTTCGGTGCGACAACCATGTAATACCTAGGATGACGCTATTGGGGAGGCGCAGACGGGATGGAGATCGACGTGATGGATCGGACTGGCACCAGTGTGATGGGGCGGCCACCCTCCCTTTTGTCGTCCTGGCTGCAGCCTGCAGGCTGGGCTGCAAGGCACATTTACCTTCCACGGGATTGGGACCTGTTGTCCAGGGCAGCCCTTCACCAGACCAACGTGTTCCAAGACCGTTATAATAGACACAGCCAGAGTGTAAACGATTACACCACTTCAGGAATTAGAAACGTTAGCTTGTATTCAATCTGATATGACTGGCTAGGATAACAGGGACCCCTGCGGGTAACAGTACAAACAAACAGATAACACATTTGCCTATTTCTCAGGTACCTATACGCATACATACAAAATTCAATTCCCCCAACACCATCCTAAGGCAGGCGCAGGGGAGGCTTAGAGGGCATTATTGAAAGAGCTTCTCTTGGTAAATCTGACGATAGCTTCAATTAGCCTGATATCAGTCTGGCCACTTGACTTTGTACACACCTATAGAAAATTTGTGTAAAGGTACGGATTAGCAGTGTAATCCAATGATCGAGCGGGGTGTGGAGCTTAGTATTGAGCTAGAGTTTCTAATCCTGGATAGGTGTACCTAGAACGGAACGAGTCTCACAAGGATGTTTGTTGTCAACTGGATATTGTCCTAATTGTCTCCTCCTTTTTTCCCCTTTCCGCTTCTATATACAGCACGGAAAGGCGCCAGAACGTCAACGAGCAAGGGCTATGCCGTTGTATGGTGCAAGTGATAAATGCTTAATCTCAATGAGGACCAAGATGCGCTGGGAACGACCCGTAGCATATCCATCTCACATATCCGCCCAAAATCAATTCGATACCTTAGGAGACGGATTGACCACAGTACCGCAGGTAGCGCAGGTCAATGACGGGTACCTACAATTCTTGAGGCGTACATATCCGTTCATTGTGAATTACCCATGTTCCTTCTCATTACGTTGTACAGTATAAGACGGAAAGAAGCACCAGTGCTTGTCCATATTTCAAGCAAGGCACGTCAATCCAATGCACAGAGTGATTCCAGTTTCACTTCCCGCTGTTGCACTGCGCCCTCTTTCACGCAATAAACCGTCGCAAGCATGTAAGCAAAGTATCAACACGCCTCGAGACGGAACAATAGAGGTGCCGATCAGCTAACTAGTCCTCCAAACCCATGTTAAAGAGTAGCACAATCGCGGCTATACAAAAATGCCTGTCGCCCGGTTGCCGCAACATTGAAGCTTTTGGGCAGAACGCCTATGCTTTTTCGCCAGATGGTAGACTCTCCTCGTCTAAACTGCGAGGGTCCTCGTGCAAAACACCCTTCTCTAGAAGAGTCTCTGGAGATGGGCGATGGGAGATCTTGTCGCTGAGGGAGTCGGCACGCATGTGCTTGGCGAGGTCCTTTTGTTGGGCTTGTAGAGACGGCGCGGCTGTCGAATCGGGGAGGATATTCTCTAGACAAGGGTGAAGTACGGACGTTTGTTAGTAGTGGTTTGGAACTTTTGGATGGCATTGATGGATAACCAATAATCTTTGGGATAGTTTTGGCGGCGGCTTGCCCCGCTTTCTTTCTTTTTTGCTCCTCTCCAACCCCCGGGCAAATTGAATACGAAGACCTATGACTGAGAGGGATAACTCACTCTGTACGAGCTCTTCTCGGGCGGGGCGATGGAGGAGATGATGCTCGATGGAATTCCTACGCGCGGGGGCGTTGGAGTTGGTGGGAGAGATGGGGGTTTCGTCGACGTTGTCTTGGGGAACTTTGGATTCGTCGGCCATGGCTGTCGTGCTTGTGTCGTACGCTGGGTGTAATGGTTTTGGTTGGTCTGCGACTCTGGGTGACAGGTAGTTCAGGTCCTTGAAATGAAAGGCGTGACTGAGGCTAGAGACTTTGCTTTCGGGTATGTCGTATGTAGTGCGAAACAGTGTAGGTCAAAGTGGGATAGGTTGACCGTTGACCGTTGATGGTTGTGGGGATGTTTATGTATGTATATTCGTATATGATACCAAATGCACTTCGTACCTTATGCGATGGGAAGAGGCGAAGCGGAGGAGCTGATGGGGACCATGGGGCTTAAGTATCTCGCCGGCAGATACGAAGTACTCTGTAAAGCAAAGCAAATTCTCAATGCGATGGGGTCTCCCGGGGTGATGATGATCAGATGTTCCAATGTTCCCCTCATTCCATGTCGTCAGATGTCACCGTTTAGGATGACCGGGGTGCCGAATCAGATGGCATGGCCCAGCGAACCAACTGCGGGGTTGGACCATTCAGAACTCCAGGAGCAGACCACCTCGAGAACAGGTTACCTACATAAGGTACCTACAGTGAGTGAGCAAAAGTTTCGGGATAACCCAAAGTAGAATGCTTCGAACCTTTTGGGGAACACTTGCTTCTATTAGGGCAAAAACCATATTATATTGCAAAAGTAACGAATCACTGGATCTTTAAAATGTACCGAAATTAGTGCTCACCCACTGTAGGTAAGGTAGGTGTCTCAACATGTGTGGCTCCCAGCTGATTTGTGCTCGAGATCAACGTTATGCCCACTTCCACAGCTTCAATTCGAACCCAAACCATCCGCTGAATCAAGACACAGTCCAAAAGGTAAGGAATTCATTCAAAATAACTCCGTCCATATTGCCTCAGGTATACGTACGTTATCCTTGATTTTCAGCTCAAAGATGTATTATAATTTATGTTTTCGAGGAAATCTGCACACGTGATCGAACGCTATGAGGTACCTGATGACATAGCACTCGGTGGCGCGACTATGGTACTGAATTCGTAGCTCCTGCGTTAAAGCGGGACAGGACAGGGCACCAAGTGGGGAGCTGTTGGGGTAGGTACGGAGCTTACTTAGCTCCCGTCTTTCTGTGTGGTTCTTATTATGTGCAGCTGTGGGGATTTTTGTACACTATTTTAATGGCCCTCTGTTTATCCTCCTCTTTTAATCCGTACACGCACAACGTAGTTTTGTTTTCCACAACCCCTCAACGAGCTACGGCGTACTCGGTCTGAGAGGGAGAATCTCCCGCAAGCCTCTCCTTGCTCTCAACTCTGACCCTTACCCGGGCCCACTAGCAAAGGCCGAGTGTTCTCCTCTCTCCCAAGGGTGTTTCTGATGGTGATGCCCTCGAGAAAGCGACCGCTGTGGTACCTGCGAGTGCGGATGCTGCTGTGGCTGCTCGTACTCGCCACTGGCCCGCGGCTCTCGGACGACCTCGACCTCAACCGACTTCTGGATGCTATGTAACCCGGACGAGCCGGCGCCGGCATCTCCATTTGGGTCATGTGCCCATGTATTATTGGCGGCGTCCTGCATCTTCGCATCGCCGACCATACGCTCCTCGCTTTCGGTGAACGTGAAGTTGGTGATAGGGTTCGCAGTCGGAGGTCCGCGACCGCGCCAGCTAGGCCCCGAACCGCCACCGCCACCGAAGGTACGGAGTTCATTTGGCGTCCCGTCGGTGAGTCTCTTCGTTGAGCGCACCGAGCTCATCAGCGGTCCGAGCATGGGCGTCAACCAGCTCTTGACGAGCGGGAAGATGAGAGGTAGGTTTGTTGTGACGACGGCGACGAACGTTTCGCGGACAGCCCAGGACCCGGCTAATTGGGCGCCGTTGATGGGATCCTGTGGATTTACCGGAACACGTCAGCTGGTTGTATCCCCCCCCCCCCCCGACTGTGGAACCACTTACGGTGACGATGTAGACGCAGCGCAGTGTGGCACAGACGATGACGAACATGCCTCCGCCAAACAGGACGATCATGCCCACTTTCTTGTACGTCTTGAGCGTCGTTCCCCAGAGCAAGGGCAAAGGAATCGAAAGGAGGTACAGGTCGGTCAAGACGTTGAACGTGTAGTAGCCCCAGACGACTTGATTCGATACCGCAGGTTGGCAGACGTCTGCAATGCAGTTGCAAGAAACCATTGGTCAGCACTTCAACTCGGGTGCTCTACCGAACCAAGAATCAACGGGGAGAACGTACTTCCTGGGTCAGGGTGGATCTGCCACATCCTGTGGAAAGGACGGCAAGCAAGGAAAAGGTTCAGCGTGACGATGAGCCAGGTGCTGACGACGATTCCGAAGCCAACATATATGCGAATGATGTAGCTCCGTGCGAGGCCGTCCTGGGGAGTCAATTCACTCAGCACCAAAAGGCATCGATATGAAACGCAGTCTGCAAAAGGGGCCAAGAAGCAACACGAGACTTACCGTCAGTCGCATATACAGCACTAGCAGCGCGGCCTTGAGAGACCATAGCACTATCGAGTAGCTCGACCATCCGCAGAGCTGAATGATGGAGCCCCTCACTCTGAGCAGCAGCCTGTATTAGCGACTCGTACAAATCCTACCTACTTCCCTTCAGGGGAATTCGATACTCAATAGCAAGGACAAACTCACCTCAGCTCGTATTCAGGGTCACCGGGAGACAAAGCGGCCCGTTCCTCATCGGTCATACCGTTGTTGGCCAAACCATGGGCCCACGCACCGACGGAGTAGGCGAGGCCACTCTCAATGCCGTGAAATGTCTACATCCGCGAAGAAAGTATTAACCCGGTCGTGTTCTCAACTGATGCAAAATCGGTCCCCGGGTTGGGTGCGCAGGAAAAGAAAGGAATGTGCGAGAGTCGTCACAGACCAATGCAAGCCACACCAGGTAGTCATCTGGCTGGAAGTTTCTGAATCCAACAGCCCTATACCGGGCGAAGGTCCTGAGCACTACAACCAAGAAAGCAACACCGAGAAGTGTCCAGACTTCTCGGTAGAATTCTTCGGCAGCCTGTTGTGCCGCAGCCATGGCAGCAGCCTCAGCAGCAGGGTCGCTGGCTGGAGAGGACGACATGATGGCGTCGGGGGGTGGTGAAGATGCTCAATGCCTGAGGAGTAAGACAGCAATAGTCATAATTGGGAAGTCGGAGGCAACGCCTCTCGTGTCAATCGGATCACAAAACAACCAAAGAGGGAAAAAATTCATGGCAAGGAGAAGGAGGGAAGGGGGCGAATGGCGTTTAGGGACTCCGAAACTCTCCACAACCGCCGGCCCAATCCAGTCTTGGGCCCCGATATCCACAGCGTTCGAGCGAGAGACGAGGCCGAGAACGTTTCTGCGCTTTCACTGATTTGGCAGCAAAGACCGGACATCTATCTACAGGTCAAAGTATTCGACTATTCGGCTGTCAAGACAACTGCCGGTAATGTGATCGACAGGCGCAATGGTCAAGACAATATGTCTTCCCCACCTCTCTCCGATGAGCGTCCAGACTCGGTTCTTTGCGACGAAACAGAGTTACGAAGTATAAAGGATTGTGCGATCTGCGGGACCATCATCCTTTAGGGAAGCGAGGTCCGGGAACATTGCGGGACGGAGTACAACATACAGAATAAGACGGCCTCGAATCGGGATTATGTGAATATCCAAGGGCCAAAACCGCTGCTGCCAAGCCGCGGGACACGGGATACCTTATCTTCATGGAGGGCGGGTGCCCCTTGTCATCCGGTTGACGAACTGCAGTGTAACGTGACAAAGAGCTTAGAAAGAGACTCCATAATATTCGTACTGCATACACATACACAGCCGGTTAACCGATAACATTCCCACCACATGTGATCGACATAGGCAAGGCCCTCGAAATTTTGCAGGGGTCGAACTTCCTCCTACAGTTTCTTCGACTGTTGGTGCATGTCGGCGCAAGATAGCGCATATGTATGTATGCACGACTCTGTTCCTGCAAGCCCCTTAACCCCTTACCAGGGTCTTTTGCCAGAACCACCTCATGCACGTGTCGTCCCCTACTCTGTATGTATGTGTATGGTTGGTTGGGTTTTGGAACTTGATAAAAGAGAGAAGAGAAAGGTGTCCCGCACGAATCAACTGGGCGGGAAGTTGAAGGGATTGGCCGAAATTGGCGACAGGGGGAAGGGGGTTTTTTCTTTCATTTTTTCCCCGAGACGCCAACAACCAACGCACAACACAACCAAGATCTGTCCATGTCTGTATTAACATGGGTGCGTGCCATTGCCCATGGGGGACGAGAACAGAGACAGAAGGAAGCTTCCTTCCCCTGCTTTTGGACTAATACGGACACAGCTCTCCCGAACCAATAGCTTTTTGTAGTTTCCCTCCTTTTACTCTTCTGTTGAGGAAAAAAGGAGGGATTTTCACCCTGTAACCACACTTTCAAAGTGAGGTCTCAGAGAATCTGTATTTGTATGGAAGAATTGTAACGGCCAGAGACGCTGGGCAAAGCTTTGAACCATGGAACAATTTGATTGTGTCGTCATCGGAGCAGGTGAGTTTGTGAAATCCGAGGTCCGGGAACCCCCAGCCCGGTTTCTGTCGCTTCTCGTCTCGTCCAGTCTCTGTCCCTCTTGTCTCGTGGAGAGGCCTGAAAGGCTGAAAAACCGCAAAAACAAACAACCCTCACATTCGTGGCGTTAACAACAAACATCATCACGTATGCTAATATCCAAATCTTCTCGTCAGGATGGTACGGCCTGGGCGCCGCCAAGCAGTATCACTGCATCAATCCAAACGAGTCCCTCGTCGTCTTCGAGTCCGAAGGTGATCTGGGAGGCACCTGGGCGTCGCACCGCATCTACCCAGGCGTCAAAAGCAACAACCTCTTGGGCACCTACGAGTTCCCGGACTTCCCCATGGACCCCGACACCTTCGATATCAAGCCCGGCCAGCACCTGCCCGGCCACACGATCAACAAGTACCTCAAGGCCTACGCGGCCGAGTTCGGCATCTCCAACCTTATCCGGCTGAACACCAAGGTCACGGTCGCTGAGCACCAGGAGGAGACGGCCGAAGGCGGGTGGGTTCTGACGGTGGTGTCCGGGGACCCGGCGAAGGAGACCAAGGTGTTCGCGCGCCGGCTCATTGTCGCGACCGGTCTTACCTCCGAGGCGTTCCTCCCGCACTTTGAGGGACAGGAGACGTTCGGCGGGAGGATCTTCCACGGGAAGCACTTTTTGCAGAACAAGGACACGATCGAGCCGGGGAAGACGGTGGCGGTGTTTGGAGGCACCAAGTTCGCCTTCGATGCCGTCTATGCCTACGCGAGCGCTGGCGTCAAGGTGAATTGGGTGATCCGAGGTATGTTGGCGCGCACGACTTGGCTACCGAATAGCGAAAGCATTTTTTTTTTCTTTTTTTGGTGGTCCAGGGATTGTTGCAGCAGCGCTGACATGAACGCATGATGCGACATGTAGCATCCGGTCATGGACCGTGTTGGATCTCACCATCATACGTTACACCACTCAGGAAGTGGATTGAGCAACTCGCCAGTATGTCGATTCCTTCGCGCTATGGGAAAAGATAGAGAGAAAAAGAAAGG